GCCATGTTGTGTAGACCTCAGCGCCATTAACCTTTGGAGTGGATTGGGCTCAGCATTCGGCGCTGTGTGTAGCTACTCTCGTCGTTGGTGATCTCAACATTCACCACAGGCATTGGCTGAATTCACGCATTTTTAGTCCAGAAAGAATTGCCCTTCGTAGCTGGTGTTCGTTGCACGGTTTTTCCCAACAAGTAATCGCCGACCCCGGGCGAAAACCTGTCGTATTTAGTTTTAACCGATATGCCGAACGAAGTATCGATGGCCGTGCTTCCGAAGCTAGCCGATCACGACATAGTTGTGTCTTCCGTTTCTGTCTCTCCAGTCTCAGTCTCGAGTGTTTCGCGCGAGTGCTGGAGGTATTCTCAAGGGAATTGGCGCAATCTTAGGCGATATCTCAGTGAGTCTCCGTGGCACGATATTTTTGCTACCAGCGTAGACTATGGAACTCGAGCTCTTTCAGATCGTATTTTGCACGGAATGCGCCGGCATATTCTTCGAGGCGCGGTTGCAAAGCACGGCTCCCACCTCTGGGTCTCCAGGCTGATGCCCGAAAGCAGACATGTTCTTGTATTGCTGAGTTTCCCTTCGCTGTCCGCGCGTGCAGCCCCGCGGTGCTGGAAGCTTTTCTATCGGACGTTGCTCGTACTCGTATCAAACTGAGATCATCTCTGGCCTGGGTCGAAAGGATGGTGGCATTTGTCTCGCGAGCTGATGTGCAAAGCATCGAAGCCCACCTTCGCTGCTCTGCCAGATTCTGCCGGGGCCTGGGTCGTTCAGCCAATTCTGAAAGCTGATTTGTTTGCGTCTTCGTTTGAACGAAGATGGCGAGTTCCTGTTTTGCACGACAGCTTATATTCCGCTCTTCCTCCCCCTCCTCCCTCGCCTCCCTTGCCCCATCCTCTCCGTCATGCTCGCCAGGTCCTGTCAGCGCTTCGCGAAGACAGTGGTACTGGACCTGCTTTCGATTCTGCCAGGGGAGTGAAACGATGCGCCCGCGAATTGGCAGGTCCTTCATTCGCACTTTCGCGATTTTCTTTTACATGTGGTAAGTGGCCGGAGTATTGGAAGGTCCATTGGGTGTTCACTGTATACAAAAGAACTCCCGGCACGAGCCGGACAACTATCGCGGCATTCAGTTTACAACGCAGATCTCGAAAGCAACATAACGATTTTTGAGTATGTTGTTTATCCCCCGGATGTGTCGTGAGTTGCAATGCGGAACATATCAATTCGCTTGCGCGTCGGGCCGCGGCGCTCGAGACGCGTTGTTATTTTTAGTATAATCTTGGCTCCGCGCCTTCTCTGCGAGAAGTGTGTGGCAGTTTATTGTTCACATGCGTCTGGCGCTTCTGACAAAGTATCGTCGGGCCGCCTTCGCGCCAAGCTTGCAGTGGCAGGAATGCCCGCCTCTCTGCTCGCTGTCCTGGAAGACTGGATCTCTCTAAGATCAGCGCGCGTCGTCGTGAACGGTACAGAGCCTCGTATTGTACAGATGTGCGACATGATTTACCATGGCGCCGTCTTGGGGCCACCACTGGAGCATTTATTACTCTGACGCCCAATATCCGATAGAAGACAGCGGTGTTCAAGAGATATCGTTCGCAGATAATTGAAATTCTTCTCGCTTGGTAGGCGCAGGTCTAACGGACGACGAAGTTTTTGTTATCATGTCTGTTTGTTTGCAGAAGCTGCATTCCTGGTGAGAAGCTAGCGGAGTCTGCTTCGACAGTACTTAAAAGAGCATGCACATAATGTCTGCGAGCCGGCCGTTCGGAGATACTTTTAAGCTGCTTGGCGTCGTGTTCGATTGTAAGTTATTCATGCAGAAAGCAGCCCAAACTTGTGCTTGTGAGGCTGCCTGGCGTACGTTCACGGCGATACTACTCCGTGCGCGAGATGGTCTTGTTGTGCAAAAGCCACGTGCTCTCATATATGGAATACCGCACCGCTGCTCTGAACCACACGTCAGGTACAGTTCTCGGTCTTGTTGATCCTGTCCAACACCGATTCTTGTCTGCCTTTGGGGTGTCTCCACAGGATGCTTTGATTCGGCTTGCTCTTGCCCCGCTGGCAGTTCGCGGTGACATAGCTGTCCTTGGCTTGATCCACAGAACGGTTCTCGGCATCGGGCTTCCTATGCTTTCAGATTTCTTCGTCCTCGATTCTGCGCCTCCTCCTCCCAGGCGCGCGTTTCGCCGCCACCGTAATCATTTGGGTGTCTCTTGCGACATTCGCTTCCCCGATTACGGATTACCTGATTCGTTCTGCCCTCGACGCAGTACGTACGGGTTTACAATATCTTTCCTGACAGTGTCGTTCAGCAGCGAAGTGTGCACGATTTTCATCGGTGCCTCCAGCAGCTGCTGTGCCATTGTTTGAGATTCGGGCACGGCGGGTGGCAGCAGACCTTCGATTGGCGCGGGCCAATTGCTTTTCATTCACTTCTGGCACTCCTGAGCTGGAGGCTTCCATCTTGATGCTTGCTTTCTCCAGCTGATTCTTACTTGTTCGCTGGTTGCTTTTCGCGTACTCGTCCTCTTGTTCCTCGTCTTCCTCTTCCGTCTTCCCCCCCTCCCTCTCTCTCCTGTTCCGCTTTCCTGTCGTTGCTGTCGTGTCCCGCCGTCGTTGTCGTCGTCTTCGTCCTTCGTCTCCTGTTCCCTCCCTCTCCTCCCTCCCTTCTCCTCCCCCGGCCTCTCTGCGCGGAGTGCAGGGTGTGCGCCCTGCGCGTCGCCACCGTCAGGGCACCGCCTTTCCCCGCCAGCCTTTTTTCCTCTCCCTTTCTGTCGTCAGTCGTCTGCTGTTGCTGCCTCCCCCCCGTCCCTCTCCTCCTCCCCCCCCCCCGCTCTCCACCTTCCCCTCCCTCCTCTCCCCTCTTCCGTTTGTGCCCTGTGTCTCCCTTGTGCTCCTGTCCCTCTGTGCGTGAATGTTGTTTTTCATTATTCGAGTGGCCGTTTGTCCGCTGCGCGGAATTGTGCACGCGGTAAGTTGTTGCGGCATGTCTGAGTTTTTTTTTTTGTTTTTTGTTTTTTGGTTGGATGGTTTTTCAATACCAAACGACGACGGTGTTCAAGCATTAGTTTCCCATGCTCATTCACAGGATTGTTTTCAAGTGCCAGTGCGCGCTGGACCATTTTCTAGAAATTTATAGTCGATTCAGGTCGGTTTACCCTGACATAGGTGCCGTTCCGCATCGTTCGAGCAGAGTTGGCCCAAACAGTAATTTGAGCACACAGTGTGCAATTTAGTAATCCCAGTACGGGCATGACAAAGCACGCAGCAATTTCAATAAACAATGTGAGCGCAAACACACATTGTGACGGTTCATATGTTTTTTTGGTTCAAGTGGAAGTGCACGTTAAAACGTTTTGCGGGAGGTTTGCTTTGGCTCGGTTACCCTCCGCGGTTGGAGCAGACAATTGGACACGAAATATGCGTTCGAGCTCTGAAAACGAGCACAGAACAGGTCGAACGATTAGTCACCCCCTCGTCGCAGCAAGCAAAGTATTGATCAGTTTTGAGAAGGCAGTGACTCAATCATATTAGCATCGAAGTTGGATCAATGCTTTGTTGTAAGACCATTACATGTTCGTTGTCGTTCCAAACATGTTTGCCGTGGTTTGGTCGCCTTTCTGTGTTGTCCGAATGAGCACAGACAGTTGGAGCAATTAGATGAAAACGTCAAAGCAGAGAGTCGTCGAGCAGTCTTTATTGTGATATAAGCCTTTTGGTTGCTCCGGTTGCCTTCCGGCACTGCGTAAGCAAAGGGCAGTGGCGGCCCAAGCAATATTTTCAGCGAGCAGCTTAGTATTTGATGTCGCCGAAGAACCCTGTTCAGTTGCAAAATTTCGAATTGTAGTGTTTGGCAAACTTTGAGATTTGCGGGAAGCGGCTGTATTACGCAGTCCGCTTGTTTGTTGCCCATGATTTGTCATTCGATGCGTTCGCAGATTTGTTGAAGTTTCCATATTTTTTCGTTGTAAGTTCAGAGCTTTTCGTTTCTTCGGGAAGTTGTTCGGTTCGTGGGTTTATTCGCAATAAACGTTTCTGAGAAGATTCGCGGGATTGTCGCATCCTCCATGGGAAGAACTTCTCCTTGCGAGTCCACTGGACGCTGGTGTATTGCGGGTAGGGGTTCATCTGGCTGCCCACGTGCTTCAGATTCTAACCTCCGCTGAGTTTTAGGGTAGGGCTCATATGTGAGTAGCTGGCCTGGGCATTCCGCAAGCCTTCCCAAAGGATAGACAATATGATGCTACACCATTTCGGCACATGGTTTCTAGCCGTTTTGTTCTTGATAGCTTCCTCGGGGCTCTTCAGGTTCCTCTTCGCAGCATCGCGGGAGCACATCGGGTGTTATGGCGTATTTTGGGGCAATCTTGCGTCCATTTGGGAAGGTCGCCGAATCAGCATTGATCTTTCCAAGCGTGCGTTCGAAGTTGCGTTGGATGCCTTGGGCGTGTGTTGATTCCGGATTGGTTGGTTGTGGATTGTTCGAATGCTTCATCGAATCCCCATGGTATACAACTGGCTTTCGTTTCGACGAAACAGAAGCAGCATGCCAGTCTCGTGCGGCTTGCAGAGCGCTTCGATGTGCGGAATCAGTTTTTTTGTGTGGAAGCAAACCGTGATGATCTATTCCGCCTGTGATTTCAAAATGCGTTGGTGTGTAACGCGGGTCGCCATGTCCTACAAATATTTGGTCAAGCTAAGCAACCGTAATGAGCCTGGTCAAAATGTAATACTATTGGAGTGTCCGATTTTGGTACTTGAGTACTGTCCCTCCAGAAACTAATTATGATCATGAGTGGCCAACTTGTGTGCGACGCGTCCAGCAGCATGCAGTCTGAACATGTTCGATGCCGCCCGCTCACACCTAACGCGGGCAGTTTGATGATAGACACGCGTGACGTTGTCGGATGCATGTCGAGGCGTGCTCGCTGCCCTGATGTGCCGACGAGTTCGATGCATTTTTTTCACGTGTGCAATCGTTCGTTGGTCTTTTGGGCTCCAGGCGTCCTTGCAGGGCCGCGCTGGCCGCGCTCGACATGTGCCAGTGGTTTCTGGGAGCCAAACGCGCTTGATAGTGTCAAAGGCTAGTGAAATGGTTTCGTCCACCAGGTTTCTCGGGCCGAACGAAAGGGGTGGATAGGGAAAGCGGGGGCTACGAAATCTGCTGCATGCAGCTGGTTTCGGCCCCGCCGCCGGGCCCATTCCTCGATACATGGGCGCCTCCAGGCGCCCCCCCTTTCGTTCCCCCCGAGTTTCATTTCCAGAGTCCCACTTCCTCTTGCAGGGAAGCTGGAGCGCGTGGCTGGGGCCAGCCCTTCTACTCTGTCCAGCCCCGGCTATTTTCCCTCTGGTTTTCTTGCCTTGGCGTGGCGACCCCATCCTACTTGTTGCGGGCTCGTTTGCAACCTTGTAGGTTTTCCCAGCCTTGGCCACTCCACCTTTGACGAAGTTTTCAATTTATTGTTTCCAGCTTTTCAGTGCTGAGATTGAGGTCCAGGGAAGAAGGAAAGTGGACTTGACTTCAAGAGAGCAAGGTGAAAGCAGGGGAGAGAAGGGGAGATACCTGTCTCATCAAGGCTGCCAAGGAATCGCTGAAGGGTCTCCGACACTGTAGTGATCCAGTATCCTCGCAGGAATGTCGATTGCTTAGTTGTGGCAGCAGTTGCAGTTTTGAAGAGATGTACGTACTCTGAGATTTTGCGGACCAGTGCTGCGGATGATCATCGACAATCTGTTTGCAGCGGTCAATGTCTCGTGGAAGTGTATCACTTCGTTTGGCTCCTCTATTTGCTTGTTCGGGAATCGAACATCGGACCTGGAGGCTCCCTGTCGAGAGCCAGCGTTTATGCTCAGAACTGAAACAAGTCGTCCTCCCCCTTTGGAGATAGATGTTTCCTCAAATCAGGTGGCACCGTCGCCCTTGTTGGGCTCTGGCCTTATCCAAATGGCTACGGAGGGAACAGGGCGCGGTCACATGCAAGACCAGGGCCGCAAACATTTAGTGAACGCCCCCCCGTGTTATATCTGAGACTGCTGCCACCCTCCCTCGGCGCTGTACTCGAGTCGGTCTGAGGAAACTGCTTGTTTTTGGGACCCGAGTTCGACTTCCGAAAGATTGGCTCAGACCACTCCCCCCCCCCAACTCTCTCCCGTCTCTCTCAGCCTCGACCTCGGGCCCTGGTGGGGGGGAGTGCCCAGAGGCACCAGTGCCCCGCGCTCGCGCTCGTGTTCCCTGCTGCTCGCCCTGCTCGCCCCCGTCCTGGGACCACGCAGCCTGGCAGGAGCGCGTTCGGCCACGCGCTCGCTACGTCCCTGGACCCCCTCGCGCTGTGAAGCTACCACGTCGGAAGGTTTTCCTACATCTTCGGCTTTGGGAGCCCTCGCCCGGGCCTCGGCACCGTCGAGCACGACTCGGGATGAAAAACCAGTCCCCGGAAGCTCTGGGGTCTAAGTCATGAACATACTCACGATGTTGGGGGCCTGGGCGCGTCGCCCGCTTGCGCTCGACGCGACCGTGCTGCACATCGTTGGCGGACGAGGCTCTTCCTGGCGCATGTGTTTAGCGAGCGCGAGGCAGCGCCGTCGGGCTGGCCCTGATCGCCAGTCCCAGTCGTCCGGCCGCCTCCAGCCAGGCTCGGGCTCGCGGGGACGCCTGGGAGGGGAACGGCCCAGGTCGACCCGGTCGATCCGATTCGGTATCGATTTGGGCCAGCCCGCGTATCATCCGAGTCCGATACTCCGACGATCAGCCACGCGCAGAGGGGTGGTCGGGGGAGGGGGGAAGGCTTCTCAGAAGGAGGCTGCTTCTTAGAAGCTGCGAGCCTTGTCTGTAGATACAATGCCCGCGCCTTCTGAGAAGCAGCCTCCTTCTAAGAGGCCTTCCCCCCCTCCTCCTCCCCTCTTGTGCGCGCCGCCAAGACGACCTGGTGCGACTCGATCCATGCACGCCGTCTGTTGTACATCCTTGCGCAGCCGGTCCGGCTCGATCTCGTCCCCGTGCCGATGCAGCCCGACCCGATGCACGTTCCGACTCGACCAGATTTCCCGATTCGATGCCGACCGCTCTTGATGCCGGTTAAGTGAAGGCCTCTACCTGCTAAGACTGAGAAGCCACCCCGCTTCCTTAGAATGTTCCCCCACCCCTCAGTCTGCGGCCTCTTGCGAACCCTACCCCTGTTGGTTCAGTCGACCCTGGGGTATCAGAAGCCCCCGCTTGGGTTCATCTGGCTGCAGACATCCTTCAAATCCTGAACCCCAGGCAGTATTTCAAAAGTCTTACCTGCAGGGGCATCCTGTACCCCAGGGGCATCCTGTACCCCAGCCGGTATTCCAACACCGTTCCGCTCTCAGCGAGATCAATTCTGCATGCTTCGTGGCACTGCGTTCACATCAGCACTGTAAACTCGATACCGGTTGGCGTGCCGCTGCTTCCGCAGAGCGGAGAGTGATGTTTGGCGTGGCCTCTCTCTGACCACGCGCCCCGGCGCAGAGCCTGACTGACCGACCCCCTGCAAGGGCGGGGCTCGCACGTGGTTAGCCCACTCGCCCTCCTGGCCTCTCCGGCCGCCTCGCGCCCCGCCGGCCTCTCTTCCTCGAGACTCGCTGTGCACCGGCGCCCCCCGCCGCTGCTCGACCGCCGTCGGACCCTCTTCGGCGGCGCGCGGAGGGGGGAAAGGGGGAGGGGGGAGGGCTCCTTAGAAGCAGCCCGCGCTTCTCAGAAGGCGCGGGCCTTGACTGTAGATGTACTTAGCTCGCTGAGGAGGCGCGGAGACAAGGAGATGGTCTCGTTTGTGGAGTCGCTGGTCGCGGGCGGCATCGTGACGCAGCACGATCTCTACCAGGAGCGATCCCAGGGCCGGCGCCTTCTAAGAAGCAGCCTGCTTCTACCAGGAAGCCTTCCCCCTCCCCCCTCCCCCCCCCTGTGCGCGCCGCCAAATGCAGAACATGTGGTTCGCCAGCACGCGCTTCTCAGAAGACGCACGCCTTGTATGTAGATGTAGGGCCGGTGCCTTCTCAGAAGCAGCCCGCTTCTAAGAAACTTTTCCCCCTTCCCCCTGCCCTCCCTTCTGCGGGCCGCCAACAGCAGAACATGTGGTTCGCAAGCCCGCGCCTCTCAGAAGGCGCAGGCCTTGTCTGTAGATGTAAGGCCGGCCCCTTCTAAGAAGCAGCCTGCTTCTAAGAAGCCTTTCCCCCTCCCCCCGCGCCCCCTCTCTCCGCGCGCCGCAAACATCAAAACATGTGGTTAGCCAGCCCGCGCTTCTCAGAAGGCGTAGGCTTTGTCTGTAGATGTAGGGCTGGCGCCTTCCAAGAAGCAGCCTGCTTCCAAGAAGTTTTTCCCGAATACGCTGACCTTGTCTGTAGATGTAAGGCCAGCGCCCTGTAAGAAGCAACCTGCTTCTAAGAAGCCTTCCCCCTTCCCCCGTCCCCCCTTTCCCCACCTGCACGCCGCCAACAGCAAAACATGTGGTTACCCAACGCGCGCTCTCAGAAGGCGCGGGCCTTGTTTGTAGATGTAGGGGCGGCGCCATGTAATAATCAGCCTGCTTCTAAGAAGCCTTCCCCCTCCCCCCTTTCCTCCCACTCTGCACGCCGCCAACAGCAAAACATGTGGTTAGTGAACAATCGCTTCTCAGAGGGCGTGGGCCTTGTCTGTAGATGTAGGGCTGGCGCCTTCAAAAAGGCAGCCTTCTTTAAGAAGTCTTCCCCCTCCCCCTTGCCCCCCCTCTGCGCGCCGCCAAATGCAAAACATGTGGTTCGCCAGCCCGCGCTTCTCAGAAGGCGCAGGCTTTGTCTGTAGATGTAGGGCTGGCGCCTTCTAAGAAGCAGCCTGCTTCCAAGAAGTTTTCCTCCCTCGCCCCCCCCCTCTGCGCGCCTCCAACAGCAGAAGATGTGGTCAGCCACCACGCGCTTCTCAGTAGGCGCGGGCCTTGTCTTTAGATGTAGGGCCGGTGCCTTCTAATAAGTAGCCCGCTTCTAAGAAGCTTTCCCCCCTCGCCCTAGGCCCCCCCCCCCTGCGCGCCGCCAACAGCAAAGCATGTGGTTAGCCAACGAGCGCTTCTCAGAAGGCGCAGGCCTTGTCTGTAGATATAGGGCTGGCGCCTTCGAAGAAACGACCTGCTTCTAAGAAGCCTTCCCCCTCCCCCTAACCCTTTTGTGCGCGCCTCCAAGACGGCCTGGTGCGACTCGATGCCTGCACGGCGTTTGTTGTATATCCTTGCGCAATCGATCCGGCTTGATCTTGTCTCCGTGCCGGTGCGGCCCGATCCGACGCACGTTCCAACGCGACCGGGCTCCCCGATTCGATGCCGACCGCTCTTGATGCCGGTTACGGTTGTAGAGGGCTTCTGCCTTCAAGAGGTCCCCCCGCTTCCTTAGAAGGCCCACCCCCTCTTCGCGCCGCCGTATGCTTCAGCCTTCAGGTCTTATGGTCATGCCCTTCGATCTGTTTTCCGCAGCGCTGGCATATCAAGAGTTCGTCGTCGAGTATTTCCTTGTCGCGGCGGGCTCGGGGATGGTCAGCGTGACGTTTCCCATTGCTTCGCGGTTGCTCTAGTCCAGTCCAGGGCAAACGATGCGTCTCGCCCGCTCGGCGTCACCCTCTGGCGCGCCTGGCGTCGGGAGGCGGCGGGTCTCTCGTCGCGCCGCTTCCCGACGCCGGGCGGCGGGTCCTCCAGCCGGGCGCCGCGTCGGGAGGCGGCGGGTTCTCCAGCCTTCGGGGCGCGCCAGCACGCGGGGCGGCGCTCCGCGGCCTGCGCCCTCTGCCGCCTGCGCCCTTCGGTCGGGGCCCACACAAAAGCGCTACCACCACCTCCTTCGGCCCCTCCCTCTTCCAGGAAAGAGGCGAGGAAGAGGAGGGTATAGGAGGGAGGAGAAATCGTCGTGGTGGTGTATGCTCTTGGGGCCCGCACCTCGTCCCGTGCAGTGGGTCAACGTGCGGCTGCCTTCCTTTCAGGGGAGGCGAGACTCAGTACCCGGTGGTCGTTGGAAGTAGGCATTTTGGGATATCAGATCCCAGTCTATTCTTAGGCATATTCCTACTTTAAGGACTGAACGGTATTCCCTCTTCCCCCTGTTCAGGGGGTGGGCGGAAGCCCAATTTGTGTTCAACGCTTTCCCACTTCATGTTGCAGCCGATTAATTTCGACTCACGGGTGATAATAAAACGACCCCTAACCGTAATGACGCAAGGGCTTCGCGGCCTAACGTCGTTCCACGGTTTGATACATATCCTTAAACACGTTGGTCTACTCGTTTGAGACATCTTCACAAACCGACCCCCTCAATCCCTAATGTGTTTGGCCCTCCTAACTTATGTCCCCTCCCACATGATTCGGTAATTTCGGGGTTCCCAGCGGCTGCGATTTGGCGCCCGCCGTGGCTGGAGTCGTAGCCGCTGCGACACTTGTCTGGGGGTACGTCGTCATGGGGGTACGTTTGGCCCTTCCCAATCCTCTTCTCCGTCGGCGGCGAGCCCGGGGGGGAAGAGAGAGGGGGCGGGCCTTCCCGGAAGGCTCAGAAGGCCTCAGGCCTTTGAGAAGTTCTGTGAGCGTTTTTCTGAAGCGTCAGGGCTTCTGAGAAGTCCTGCTGCCTTCTGATAAGGTGATCGAGCAATATTCAGGCTGCCCAAGTGGCGCTGGAGCAGATGGAAGGGTGGATCGTGCCACATCGTTGATGCATCTCCGATGTTCCGCGATTTCGAACCTGGCTGTCTCCGTGTCGACGTCGCCGATGCACCGGTGGAGCGGTGCGATCTTCCGGTCTCATCTGCTCTGGCCCCATTGGGGCAGCCTCCTCAAGAAGTAATTAGTCGCGGCGTCCATGTGGGCAGCGTACATTCGGGGCATGTCATGTTGTTCCACGCGGCCTCCAAAGACGAGGGCCGCCAGATAGTTCAGAATTTCTGGGACATATCCTGACGCAGCCGTATCATGAAATTTGTTATCGTCCTATGATTATGTCCAGAATTGCCGCCGCCTTGCTCGATAATTGTTGTCGCAGGAATTCGAACGTTGGTATGTCATTTTGTTTTCCCTCCCCGATTGGAGAGCCCTCGATCATTCAGAAGTATGTAGTGCTCGCGCTGCAGCGCCGGCCGCGTTCGAGGATCGGTGCTTTGTTCTTGTCGTTCAGAATGGCGCTCTCGCCCCAGCTTGGGCCACAGTTCTGGATCATATTCCTTCCTCGTCATCGCCGTCCCCCTCCTTTCTCCTTTTCCGCGTTCGCCTGGTCCGTCTTCCTGCTCCTCATGCTCCTGTTGCTCGTCCTCCTCCTCGTTCTCCTTCGTCATCCTCCTCTTCCTCCTGCTTCTCCGCCACCTCCTCCTCGTACTTTTCCACTCTACAAGGTCCCTCTTTCTGATTGTCTTGCGCACGATGGGGCCACTTGGGGGATCAATGTCCTTTGGAACACCCCAGTCGGCGGATATAACATAATTCAGCGCAATTGGAAGGGATGGGTGGGAAGGCTAAGAAGTCTGACAGGTCGCGAGCGCACATTGCTTGCGCTCGTCTTCTCTTCTCTCCATCTGTCAATTTTCGTGCCTCTTCTCCTTTTCCTGCCCGACACGGCCACGGAGGCTCCCATGAGGGGTCAGCGCCACCTGAGAGCACGTCCGTGGCAGTCGGAACAGGTTTGCCCGCCCGCAAGAGCGTCGCCTTAGGTGACGGGCCTCTCTCTGGCCTCCTCTTCCTGCTTCAGGTCCTGGCAGAGGCGGGTAGCGCTCCCCCCGGTCGCTTGCGCCATTCGGTCGCTTGCGCCATTCGGCGGCGCGGCGAGGGGGCGGCGGGGCTTCTGAGGACGCGGCGTTTGAGTAAATTGCGAGGAAGGCCCACGCGAGAGCGCGAGCCCTGTATAAATTGTGAGGGCGCCCCGCGCGAGAGCGCGATTCGGGAATAAATTGAAGAAATATCAAGCGGGAGCCGTTGTTGTCGTAAACCAGGGGCCAGGGGCACAGTTTGGTGACACCTCGCCTTCTCAGAAGGCGGCGGGGCTCCTGAGCCTTCTCTGAAGGCCCACCCGCTCTGCCTTCCCCCCCCCCCCTCCGGGCGCGCCGCCGAGCCACGGCGCACCTGGCGCCGGGCGGCCAGCCCACGGCAGCGGACGCGGGCCGGGCTCCCGTTGCAGAGCTGGCTGCTGCTGCTCGCCCCCGCCCCCCCCCCCCGAAGGCTCAGCGGCCTGGGGCTCGCCTCCCTGGCCCTCTATGGAGCGCTGTGCTGGTCTCTGGCCGGCGAGCTCGACGAGGTCTGGCGCCGCTTCCCGTTTGTGCCTGCTCCCTTGTTCGTCTGTCTGTTCTTCTGTTTTTTGTTTTGTTTTGTTTGTTGATTTGTTTGTTTGTTTGTCTGTCTGTCCGTTTTCCAATCTGTCTTTTCCCCAAACAGTGCTTGTACTTATGGATTATTATTTCTGTTCTGCGGAACTGGGCCGTGCCTTCGCATTGGACGCTATGTGACCGCCGTCGCCGCCCCGTCGCAGGCTCGTTGCCGCCTCGTCGCCGTCTGTCGTCGGGGCTTTCTCGTTTTTTTTGTGTTTTTTTTGTGTGTGTTTTTTTTTTTTTTTTTTTTTTTTTTTTTTTTTTTTTTTTGTTTCTATGTTATTTAATGTGTAATATGCATATATATAGTATTATTATCATTGTATTTAAAGAAAAATTATGTTAATGATAATAATAATATGAAGAAGAAGAATATTAGTATTAATAATGTCTATCCCCACGCCTGGGGATTACCCGCCCCCCTTTCGTATTACAATATACACATGACCATCGTCCATCGTGAATCTGAGTTCATACATCCCAGCCGAGCTGGTATCGCCCCCCCGCCATCCAGTGCCAAAAATGCAATTCGCGCGCGTTCGCTTGTCAACACTTGTCATTTTTCAAAAGCCCCTAGCAAACATTGAGACGAACTGCGCACGCGCGCGTCGTCGCGCGCGTACGCCGAAGTCCTTCAAAAACCATCGGTTCGTATGGATGTCAAACTCCAGTGTACAAACACACATGTAAAACACATGCTTTCGCGTGCGCACTCTTGCGAGTTCTTAAGGAAACCATCGGTTTCTCAACATATGCATCAACTGCTACCAAACGGGCTTCGCGCGCGCATGACGAAATCACTCGAACGCCCTTGCACGCGTGCCGTCGCGAGAGCCCGTTGCAACAAATGGGGCGAAGCGCACACGCGCGCGTCGTCGCGCGCGCATGCCGGAGTTTGTCAAAACCTTTAGTTTTGTGGCGATTTTAATTTCGAGTGTCCAACACACATTTAACACACATTGTTTCGCAGCATCAGTTTCCCAAAAAGCATTCGCTCGAGCTCTTGCGAATTCTTAAGAAAACCGTTTGTTTTTCAACATTGTCATTGAATTCCAAACGGACCTTTGGCGCCGCTTGCCGACATCATTCGCACGCCCTTGCGCGCGTGCTGGGGGGGCACGATCCGTGTCGAATAATACCATGCGGGTCACTCTCGCGCGTCGGCCGCGCGCGCATGTCGAATTCTTTCCAACACCTTCGCCACCGACGCGAGCACGCCGTCATCGTCGTCGGCGTGATCAGCATTGGCGCCGTCACTGGCCGCGCCGTCGTCGTTGTCAACAGTGTCACCAACATCGCTACTGTCATCATCGTGTCTACCGTTGTCGACGTTGCTATGATACCGCGCCCGCCCACGTCGCCGACTCGCAGTGAAGTGCCCGCTGGGATGTGCCCAACGGTTAGCGCCATCGCGGCCGCGTCGGTCGCGCCCAACTAGTTGGCCGCTGCGCGCGCGTGCTTGGGTTGGCGCGGCCGCAAAGATGCACCAGCCAACGCCAAGCATGCATCGCAATCGCCACCGCGTGGGTTTTGCAAACCAATTTGCGGGTGGGTGGGTGGGATGGTTGCAAGAGCATGGGGTGTGCCAACTCGTTTGTTTTAATCAATCGCACAACATATATGGCACCGCATTTATTGCACCACAGATTTCACCGCATACGTTGCACCAAATATATTGCACCACGTTGCTTGCACAACATCGATTGCACCGCGTGAATTGCACATGGGTTGCACAACGTAGATGCGCCACATGAAATGAACCACATTGATCGCACCGTATAGATAGCACGACATAGATGGCACAACATGGATTGCACCACATTTTTTACACGATATAGCGTGGCATAGATCGCACCATACACATATATATATATATATATATATGTATGTATAGATAGCTCCGCATATGTTGCATACCGTACGTTCCTGCTACAAACACACTGATTGGGATCCGCGCGTGCGACTTTTTGTTATTGTCATTGTATGTTGACCTGATTATGCAAAGTAAGATGTGCAGCGTCTTCTTGTCAGTTTCCTCATTCTTGTCGTTCTTCTTTTGCATCTCATTATTCTGCCCCCGTCCTTTCTTCATCATCTCCTCGTCCGTCTTTTCCACCCATTCCTGCTGTCCACATTTTCCTTTACTTTTTCCCCTTTTTCCCCTTTGCCTTTCGCCCTTCGCCCTTCGCCCTTCTCCTTTCTAATTTCTCCTCTTGCTATTCTTCCTCGTCGCCTCTGAGTCTTCCTGGAAAGGGCGCCGGCCCAAGGGTCTCTTTTACAAGGTAGTCTTTGTGCCGGGACTCCACTGGCGTTGGGCCGGCGACATTGTTTTGCGATAGATATCGAGGTCGAGTAAGGCTTGCGAATTCAGATTTTGAGGACGTCTCAGGCGAAACGCTTGTTTTATACACGTTTGTCGAGGATGTCTCAGGGGAACGGTTGGCTTTGCAGTGCTGGGGGACTCGAGCGGGGGCCGGAATTCATGGGATGCCTCAGGCGAAATGCTTGTTTTCACATGCCCAGGTCGCCCACAGGGGGTATTTAACATGGCTGTCTTTATTCAGACGGAGCCACGTGGTTTCTCGTGTCCATGCCACCCAGCGGGGTATCTAAGACGGTTGCCATTTGCCCCTCGCTGGAACCAAACGTTTTCACATGCCCTGGCCACCCAGATGGGTATCTAAAATGGAGACCCCTCGCTGGAAACACGTTTGTTTAAGTGTACAGGCCACCCAAAGGGGTATCTAACATGGTTGCCCCGAGCTGAAGCCATGTGTTTTCACTTTTTATCCTTCAAGGGGCGACAGGGACCCACGCGTTTTCAGCCTTGTGCCGCTCAGGGGCGAAAGGGACCCACGTGTTTTCACGCTTGTTTCGCTCTGGCGCGAAAGGGACTCGCGTGTTTTCACGTTTTGCCGCTCTGGGGCGACAGGGGCCCACGTTTTTTGCGTTTGTTCTGCTCTGGTGCGAAAAGGGCCCTTGTGCTTTCACGCTTGTTCTTCCTCCGCTCTGGCGCGAAAGGGACCGACGTGTTTTCACGCCTGTTCCGCTCTGGAGCGAAAAGGACCCACGTGTTTTTACGTTTGTTCCGGTCTGGCGCGGAAGGGACCCACGTGTTTTCATGTTTGTTCCGCTCAGGAGCAAATGGGACCCACGTATTTCCACATTTGTTCCGCTCAGGGGCGAAAGGGACCCATGTGTTTTCACGCTTCCGCCGCTCAGGGGCGGAAGAGACCCACGTGTTTTCACGCTTGTTCCGCTCGGGGGCGAGAAGGGACCAACGGTGCTTTCACGCTTGTTCCGCTCTGGGGCGAAATGGACCCACGTATTTTCACACTTGTTCCGCTCTGTCGCGGAAGGGACCAACGGTGCTTTCACGCTTGTCCCGCTCGGGGGCGAAAGCGGCACGTGTTTTCACGCTTGTTCCGATCTGGAGCGCACGGAACCCAGGTGTTTTCATGTTTTTTTTTCCGCTGTGGGGCGAAAAAAGATCCATGTGTCTTCATGCTTGTTCCGTTCTGGGGCGAACAGTGTTCGCGTGGTTTCACGTTCGTTCCTCTCTGGGGCCGCAGGGACCCACGTGTTGTCACCCTTGCTCCTCTCTGGAGCAAGAGGGACACACGTGCTTTCATGCTTGTACCGCTCTGGGGCGACAGGGGCCCGCGTGCTTTCAAGCGTCTGGGCCACCCAGGGAGGGATATATATATATATATATATATATATATAAGACTGCAGTGGCGCTTCGCGCCATGCACCTTGGTCCTTGAAGTTTGGCATGCAGGCGGAATAGCAGGAAGGTCAAGTCGACAACTTAGCGATAACTCCTGGTTGCCTTTTCCGACATCGCCGCTATAATAATGTTATTCGTTATCCTTCCTCCATGCTTCTTTTTCCTTATTTTCGCCATACCCTGCCCCATCCTCCTCAGCTCTTTTTTGCGGAGGTTCCTCCTTGGAGAGCCTCTAGGGGCCTCACGAAAGTTGTTTCAGGCTTTCTTAAGGCCTTCTGGAGGCCTCCTGGGCGTATTCTGGGGGCCTCCGGGGGCTTCCTCTGGCCACCCTGCCTCCAACCACGGTCTCCCTGAACGACCGAATCACGATTTGGAATTCTTCGGAGGGTGTCTCTGGGCCATCTTGGGCCGCCATGGGGCTCTCTGAGGGCCATCTTGGACCCGTGTTGTGCTGTTTTGGGGTTCCCTTGGACTGCCTGGAAGCCCTTTCGGATGGTTGTGGGGCGATTTTGGAGCCTCCCAGGCGGCTTCGGACGCCCAGAAGACCGCCGTCTTGGAGCGTCGGGAAGCCGAAAAGAGGAGAACCCCAAATTCATCAACAACTAACAGAAAATCAATGATTTTTGCCTCGGGGGGCCTTCTTGGGAGTGCTCTTGGAGGCCTCTTTGGGGCCGTCCTGGAGGCCTCTTGGGCCATCTTGAGGTCACGTCGGTCACTCTTGGAGCGCTCTTGTACTGTCTTAGGGGTCTCTGGGACGTCTCCGATGACCCCCCTGATCGCCCTAAGTGTGCTGGGAAGGCTTGGCAAAACGCCTTGCGAGGTCTGGTGGCCGCTTCGAGGCCCGTCCGGAGGGCCCCAAAGCCCCAGGTCCCGGGAGTCCGGTTTTGGGGGGGGGGGTGATGGGTTTTCCCCCCGCCTGGGCTTATAAAAATATAGGAAGAGGAACACAAATATATATATATATATATATATATATATATATATGGTCGTTTGGCCCTCCAGATTGGGGGAGTCACAAGAGCCAGACAAATTTAACGAATCGACACCAGATGTGTAATAGTTTGACACGTTCCGTCCTGGGGCCCTGGGCAGGCCTCCTGCGGCCTCCTGGGGTGGCCTCCCGCGGCGAAAGGGACCCACGTGTTTCCGCGCTGTTCCGCCCTGTGGCGAAAGGGACCCGAGTATTTTCACGCTTGTTCCGCTCTGGCGCGACAGGGATCCGCGTGTCCCTGGCGCGAAATGGACACGTGTTTTCACCCTTGTTCCGCTCTGGTGCGGAAGGGATCCACCAGTTTTCACGCTTGTTCCGCTCAGGGGCGAAAGGGACCCACGTGCTTTTTATGTTTCTTCTGGTCTGGCGCGAAAGGGACCCACGTGTTTTCACGCTTGTCCTCTCTGTCGCGAAAGAGACCCACGTGTTTTCACGTTTGTTCTGGTCTAGCGCGAAAAGGACCCACGTGTTTTCAGGCTTGTTCTAGTCTAGGGCGAAAGGGGCCCACGTGTTTTCGCGTGTCCGGGCGGCCGGGCCACCCAGGGGGGGATAGCTAATATGTGGTCGTCTGGCCCCCAAGAGTGTGAGGGGGGGTCGCAAGAGCCAGATTAAATGAGCGAATCGACACCAAATTTGTAGCAAGTTGACACGTGAGGCCTCCTGCGGCCTCCTGGGGAGGCCTCCTGCGGCGGCAGGGACCCACGTGTTTCCGCGCTTGTTCCACTCTGGGGCGACAGGGACCCACGTGTTTTCACGTGGGTTCCGCTCTGGCGCGACAGGGACCCACGTGTTTTCACGCCTGTTTCGCTCTGGAGCGAAAAGGACCCACGTGTTTTTCCGGTCTGGCGCGGAAGGGACCCACGTGTTTTCACGCTTGTTCCGCTCAGGAGCAAAAGGGGCCCACGCATTTCCACATTTGTTCCGCTCAGGGGCGACAGGGACCCATGTGTTTTCACGCTTCCGCCGCTCAGAGGCGGAAGGGACCCATGTGTTTTCACGCTTGTTCATCTCAGTCGCTTCACGCTTGTTCCAGG